AGCTTATAATTAACTAATATTTTATCGATATTAATTAAATGCTCGAAAACCTATTTTCGTATATTAGGGTATACTATTTTATCTTTTCCGGACTCCTTTTTATAATAAAATAAAAAGCCTTTAATACCAATATTATTTACGAAGCTTTATGCAATATCCGGCTTAAAGTTATATAGAATCCTCCCAAAAACTTTACAAAAATAAGCAATAGAATTAATAGCACCTTAAAGAATAGTTATTATATATAATAGGCCTAAAAAAGTTATAAACGTTATTATATCTCTAGATTTAGGGTATAATATAACTTAATTATATTTAAAAAAAAGGTCGGCTATAGTAATTATCGTATAATTAGCCAAATTTTTTGCAAAAATATCGCAATTATTAGGGATCTTAATATCCCTTTTCGTAATAGCATTATACTTAATTACCGAATTAATTAGGCGAAGGCTATTATCTTTTTTTATAATTAGGAACCAAATATTTCGGTAGATATTATAATAAAATTCTATTATTTATACTAATCGCCTCGCCTTTAAAAGCTCGATTACCTTAGGCATTAAGGCTTTAAATATAAGGATATTTTTTAATTATTAGGCCTTATAAAGGATAATCGGGATTTTATATAATAACGCAATAATATCCTTAATTTTGCCGTTTTTTGTAAAATCCTATACCAATGCCCCTTTTTTTTTAAATAAAATTTTAAAAAGCACCCATTTCTTTTAATTAATTATATAAAGATTAATTTTATTAAGCAATTTATTTAGGCGTTTAAAAGTAAATCTATTTCCTTTTGCTAAATTAAACTATTTAAATATAATTTTAAATAAAGGCCCTTTCGCATTTTACGGTTTTATAATTTCTAAAGCTTTAGCCTATTTATGCTTTTTCTAATCTATATCTTTAAAAAGGACCTTATTTTCTTTAGGTTAATTATTAATAGATATAACCTTTTTAAACTTAAATTTATATATAATATTAATTTATCGCAAAATACAAATTTTAATATCGACGGCCTTTTTATACTTATATATAAATAAGGTATTTAAAAATATAGCTAATTCCTCGTCCAAAAACGACCTATAAACTACATCTTTTTAACTAAATTCGATACTATATAAAAATATAGCATTTATAATTATCGGCGAAAAGCCTATAATTTAATATATAATATTAAATAAGGGTTCCTTTAATAAATTAACTTGGATTTATACGTAATCCTCGTTAGCTAAAAAAGGCACCTTTTCTTTTTTAATTTAATTATATATAATATTTTTAATAACGTTAACTTCGCGCACGGTTAAAATACCTAGGTTTAGAAGTATTTCAATAATTAAACCCGTTTTAAATATAAGTTTAAATTTCGTTAAGTCGTTAATACGCATTATAATTCTACTATTTCCGAAGGCTATATTTCCGATTATATAATTATTTTAAAAGCCTATATTTATACGGGTAATTTAAATAAAATTTATACCGAGGATTAACTTATTTTTTAATTCCGTATTAAAGACTATATATATTAGAAATATAATATTACAATTAGCGATCCAAACTAGTTATTCGATTATACCAATTATACGTGTATTAGCTCCTTTTTTAAAGCTTTACACTTCTATATTATAACCTTTTATAAGAATAAAATATTTTTTTATATACTCAAAATAAATAATAAAAATTTTAATACCGGTATTAATTAATCTAATAATTATATTCTTTATGTTAATAAGTTTAATACGAACGGCTATTCTAGGTAACGGACTAATAAAATCCTTAGCATAAATAATCGTAACTTCGGGTAAGGAGTTTATATTATAGGTATCGATATAGCTACCGTATAACTAAATATTATTAATTTAGGGTCCGTCGATAAAAAATACTTATACCTATAATTCCTATCCGTTTTAATTAATAAAAAAGCTAACGCTAATCGTATTAATAAATATAATTAAAATAGCTTTCGAAAAAAAATAAAAATCCTAATTTAGCAACGCCTTATTCGAAAAATATAATATTTCCGTATAATTTTGGTTACTTATATACTTTAAGATATTAAAGGCCTTAATTAAGCCCTTTTTATATTTAGGTACAAAATCTATTAGTTAAACACAAAAAATTAAAAACAATTTATTTAGGAATTCTTTTATTTTCTCGTCGAAGAATTCCTGCTTAGCATTAAATCGTTTTTTAAGTTAAACTTAGGCTATTTCGGCCTTTTATTAAAAAGTAATACTAGGCTTTACTATAATATCTTAATTAACCGGTTTTTTAAATATTATTTTTGCTTAATTAAATAAAGGAATCGCGCTTTTATTCGTAGCTGTTTGCGAAAAAGGAATATCGCCACTTTATCCTAATATAGCATATATAATATTAGTAATATTAAATTTATCCGGTTTATAAATACAAGCGATTTTTCGCTTTTTTATAATATTATATACCTTTATTAAATATTTTTTTATTTATTTAATAATATTCGAATCTATTATAAAAAAAGCAAGGCCTCCGTTAAATAGCTCCTAATATCGGTATTTACCTATATTAGCTTAGCTTAGGTATTTAACCAATTAATTAAAAGCTATAACCGAAATAACGTTAATTCGCGTATAAATATTATTAGCGGCATTTTTTTTTATAATTTTAGTACTTTCGTTTATAACCTCGTTATTAATATTACGGCTAGCCCGTTTTAGGAAATATTCGGCTTTTATTATATAATATATAATAAAGGCGTTTTTATAATTTAATATATAATAAACGGCGGTAAAGCCGATATATTATTTAAGCTTTTTACATTAATTAACCAAGTTTTAAAGCAATACTATATCCGAAAAGGAATTATCCGGATTTATATAAAAATACTTTTTAACTTTAGAGTCGTATAAAAGAAATTTATCGTCGTAAAACATCCGGCGTTTAGCGCATTCCTAAACAAAATGGCTAAATCCACAAAAATAACAATTTACTAAAAAAAAGCTGGCTAATCGACTTCCTACCCTTTTTACTTAAGGCGACGGGGTAAATTTATAAATCAGAAAGCGTTTATATAAATCTAAATCTATTATAAAAACGGCATTAATAGCATTTATTTATAGGTAAAATAATCCGTCGCTTTAATTAGGGACCTTTTTAGCTTTTTATAAAATATATAGCTAAAATTTAGTTATTTTTTTAATAAGCTGCTTTATACTTTTATTATTTTTAAAAATATTATTAGTAACCTTAGCTATACTAATTCTAATATCGTTCGAAAGCTTATTAATAATAATAGCGGAATTAGCTAAGCTCCTAAAAATTCGAATATAAACAGCTTAAATATTATGCTTATTAATTTTAATTTCCGTAACAACCCATTTTTTAAATATATCCGTAACCTCGGAATACCTGCGTTTAAAAAATTTATTATACTCCCTAATAAAATATTATATCAAAATGCCTTTTATAACATCTCGATTAATACGTTTTAGCAGTCCTTTAGTTTTATTAAAATCGGCAGGTTTTTATCCAGCTTTTTAGAGCTCTAAAATACGAACTTTATAATTAAAATAATAGCTATATATTATTATAAAATCTTTAATAGGATTACCGCGTTCTAAATCGCGAAATCGGTCTCCTAAAATACGTCCTTGCTTAATATCTCCGATACAAAAGGTTATTTTAATTTTAGCCTTAATTTTAGACCAAATTTTGCATTTATTAATAGCTGCTCGTATACGATCCTTTATAACCTTATTAACGTTTTAATAAGGCAGCTCTTTTAATATATCTTAATTAATTATAACATAGGAGTTAAATAGTCTTTTTATACCCTTAAAAAAAAATATTGCCTTTTTGCTATTAAACTTAAATTTGGAGTGCTCGTTAACCCTAGGAGCAACTATATATATCCGAATAATCGGAACATAATAAACAAGGATTTAAGCGAAAAAAAGGGCTTAAAAAACAAATTAACGTTAATTATATAATCGCTAGGTTCCAAATATACTATTAATACTATCTAAAAAAGCAGCCGAAATAATAGGCTCCTTATTAAAAAAATCGATATTAAAATTTAATATAGCGAATATTTAATTTATTAAATTAAATAGGAGTAGGAAACAAAATATAATTTAAAATTAATTAAAATAATTATAAAAATAATATCGCGGATTAAGTTTGGTTTTTTTTTATCGTATAACTATCGTATATTTAATACTGGTATTTATAGTTAGTTCCTTATCCTATCCGGGGTTATATTTCCGGAATATATTTAAAGCAACTGCCGAAACTAGTTATCTGATCCTATAATTTTCGAGCTTTTTTCGGTTATCGTTAATTAATCTGCTAGCCTCCAATTTATATTTAGTAACTATATTTAATTCTTTGGTAATATTCTTATTTAGTGATAAAATTAAGTATTGGACTAAAAATACCGGTTAAACCGTATAGTCTTAGGCCCTATCTCTAAAATCGGTAATTATCTAATTAACTTTCCCTTTCGTATTTAGTAAATATATCTTATAAAATTTTGGTAATACTCGTATTTGGTAAATATTAAGCTAGGATAATAGAACTCGTCGCATATCGTATAAATAGGTCTAAAATGCCAATACCTAAGCGATATAAATTAATTATGCGATAACCGGATAACCTATATCCTTTTTCCTTTACAGATAAAAATAATTAAAATGCCATATATTAAAAATACCGTATTAATAATAAGAATATTATCGATATACTAATAACCGAATAGCCACGGCTTAGTATAATTAGGCTCGTAACTATATTACGCCGATCCGGCTATTCCGTACGCATAAAAAAAACAAAGGCTCTTTTTTTACCGCAGTTAGCTAGGTATCGATAAATTTTTAGCATTTCCGTTTAGGCTAAAAGGGGCAAATTATCGGGGTTTTTTTTATTTTTACGAAAAAGTATTTTTATTATTTTAATTAAACTTATTTTACTAAAAATGCTTTATAAAAAGTTATTATGCGTAGTTGTATCGTCGGCGTATAAATATGATCGTATTAATATACGAAAGGTTTGATCCTATAGCTAAGCACTATTTAAGATAAGGAACAAAAACCAAACCAAACCAACCCCACCTAAAACAAATAGCCGTAAAGCTATGGCCTTTATATGGTTTTTGATCAAATAGCATATAAAATCTTAAAATATATAAGAATAGTCTTAATTAAGAAAAACGATAGATCGTCCTATATGCTAAACGCAACGAAAAATAAAGGCTTATAAGTCCCGAAGGGACTTATAAAGCCACTTTAAGCTAAGCCTCCACAGCCACTTTTAGTGGGCATCTCCAGCACCCCCACATCACTAACACAAAAAGATTTAGTTAAACTATAGCCTTATCCCTATTATATATCGAGATAAGACTCCTTAATACCCGTACCAAGGCGCTGGAGACCGTTAACAGCCCTCGAGATAAAGACTACGCCATCCTTTCGCACAGATGGCTACCGAAAGAATATCGCTTCGAAGACATACAAAACTCGACAGGGATTCAGAGTCCATTGCACGAAAGCTTTGCCAAAGTGAAGAAAAGCTGCGACGAGGCTTTGCGTGGTGGATTCGACTATCTCTGGATTGACACTTGCTGCATCGATCAGAGCAGCAGCGCCGAGCTTTCCGAGTCGATAAATTCCATGTTCCTGTGGTATCGACAGGCGAGAGAGTGTTATGTATATCTTGACGACTTCGCTTTGAGTAACTATGCGCCAATCTCGATGCAGACGCTTGGTACTAGTCAATGGTTTCGCCGTGGGTGGACGCTGCAGGAGCTGGTAGCACCTTCAGAGCTGATCTTCTTTGATTGTAACTGGAAACGAATCGGAACTAGGGATGACCCAGCCCTTAGCTCGATGCTTCATACAATCACAGGAATCCCCGTTTCCATCTTGAGTCGAATCTCGATCGAGAAGTGTCACGCTCAGACACGTTACCAAGGGCACTCTTTTGCGGATGGGACATGCGAGCTGTGCGGTACCACTGATCAGCTTCCTATGCTCTTAAAGAGTCGCAGCGTGGCAGAAAGGATATCATGGGCCAGCAGACGCCAAACAACCCGCGCAGAAGATGAATCATACTGCCTTCTTGGCCTCTTTGATGTCAACATGCCGCTTCTTTATGGTGAAGGGAGGCAGAAGGCATTCCTTAGACTACAGGAAGGCATTGTGAAGGCCTCTGACGATCAATCCATCCTTGCTTACAGTGTGCCTCATGGAGAAGCAGCGAACATCCCTCAGCTGCTTGCCAACTCACCACAATGCTACCAAGGTACGATGATATGTCTACCACCTGATCCTGACTATCACGTGAGGCCTCACTCCATGCATATGACATATAGGAGTATCCAGACTTCCCTGTACCTGTGTGATTGCAGGGTTGAAGAGGTTGAAAGAGGGGAGAAGAAGATTTACTCCATTGGGATCCTTGATTGTGCTCATATGGATGACCCCGTCAGCCGACCAGGCATACTGCTGTCTCGATCAAGCTTTGAAGACAAGGACTACAGTCGTGTACCCTGCGATGTACTGTTACGAATAAGTCCTGATACATCATCTGGCCAAGTTCGTTTTCATGATAATAAGATACACACAACGAGTACGTTATGGATCTCGAATTCGTTAGTACAACGCCTGGTTTCTCACTCCATCTTTCCGCGAAGATTCTATCGCAGGTGTTTGAAAATGCGCACTTTGAAGTTATCTGTCTTCTCTTCCGTGGTCAATTGCTGATTGTATGGTAGTTTCTTATGATACGACAGAAGCTAAGTTCATGCATGTGAATCTGCTTTTGAACCCCCCGCGACCCTTTCTGGATGTACAGATAGGAGACCTTTTCACTACTCCTTCCCTTCGCATAAAGATCAAAGAACCGTTAAAGCTGCGGCATTGCATGACTTATCCGTCTTGCTCATCTGTTCCCGCAGGCGCTACCTACTTCCCCGCCGGCCACTGGGAGACTGGTGGTCTCAAACAGCGAAATACGGGGAGAAACATACTTTGTGGCGCCATATGCTTCATTGCCCTTGATGAGACTGCTGCCTTTGTCGTTTTATGGGGGTTCCATGGTTCTGATGTGGTAACATCGTCTCGGGACATCCATTCAGAGTCTTCTGGGCAAAGGCCGTGGTGTCGTGTCCTAAGTTGGCAAGATATCATTGATATCGACCTCAAATGGTACTCCACTACCGCGGAAGCGAAGATTATGGCACAACTCAAAAAGCGTGTCACCACTTTGAGCTACGCCTATGATGGCGATCGCACGCCTGAACTCACGGACCCCAAGGAGATCGAATTACGTGGACGCGTTGATAAATGGTCTCGACAAGAGGAACGCTCCAAAGCTATATGGGGAACTGGGGTCACTACCACAGTCTACGTTTCCATCGATGCAAAGCTTTTCCTCGGACGTTCATTATATCGCCTGAGAATATCGACAAAGCCGCGAGAATGATGCGCCAAATTCTGCTCTTTGAGAAACAATCATATTGAGTGGTTGAGCTGGTTATTTGGATGGGGCCAGAGAACCAAAGACGCTTTTTGGAAACAGGACCTGTAACGCTCTGGATGGAAGGCGACAGGACAATTTTCATCATACGAGCTTTTGATACTATGTCGTCCAAGCAAAACCTCCAGTACCGGCGGTGCCTTATCTAATGTGGGGATAACTTCGTCCAGGAGACGCCTTGCATCAGATGCTGATCACCATTGATCTGGACGTCTCTCATGCTCAGGTAGCTGAGCTTGGTTTCTATCGCTTTGTTTCCGCGAAAAGCGCACTAGGGCTAATTAAATGGTATTCGGATATAATGGCGAATAGAAAATATTTTGGTTAAGGCATTAAACTCATCGTTGCATAAAATCGCTGCCAAACCTAGTGACTCAGTAATTGACCACAATCCCGATTTATTTCCAATTGACAAGTAAGGTATCATCTTTTGTTAGTTGCGTGTATCTCACGCTGTCGCTCTAGACCATTGCCCGCTTCCTGGCATCTGCAGCCTCTGTTACTACATCTTTTAGCTTAGATCTATTTAGATATTTCCCTCTAAGGTCGGGATTGATATTAAATGTAGCGCTGACTATATCGGCATTTGACTTACTGATGGTTCGGATGACTCCGTTGGGTCGATACTACGTTATTAAAGGTGCTAATAAAGGGATAATGACCGGGAAGAGGAGCACACGACCAAACTAATCCCCTTGTTTAATAATGTCGGTCCCTATGGATCCTGGTTCGATGCTAATAATCGATATATTATTAAGCGTCGGATCGGAGTCGAGGCGGCGTTGCTGAGACGTTAATTGTTAATTATATGGGATTTTCGATAATTATACGATAATTATACTTTATGCAGTGTATAAGAAATGAAATGTAGGATATGGATAGGACAAATATAGAGCGGGGACCATAAAAAAGCTCAAAAACGCTTATTAGCTCTCCCACGTTCATTAGGGAGCATATCTTAAATGCACTATATCGGCGTATTCCCGCATATCGGGGAAGTTCGTTCGGCTGGTTGCTATTTTAGGTGCCTCGGGCTATATTATTAATGTTGTCGTGGCGGAAAAAGATCTTCTACTTTTTATTATTGTAATACCCGTTAATCTTGTGAATTGGGTGATGGGTACTTTTGATTACGTTAATGATATTCCCCGGACGTGGACTTAGGTGGTGCTTATTTGTAATTATTACTTCCGACCACGATAATTCTACCGTTGGCGAGATCCATGCTGCCGAGCAGCTTAAGAGCTAGCAATTAATGTCCTAAATAGTTGCTCGTAAAGCTGGTTTTAAACCCTTTTTCGGTAAGGCTCTCTTTTCTTATATCGTTGTATCCTGCATTTAGAATTAGCGCGCGAATGGGAGGAATTTCGCCATTTGCTACGCGAGAGTTAATGGCGTCCGAAACCTTTCGAATATTAGATATTAAGGATAGCTTTAAAGGGAGAATCTTATAAGAGTAGGATGAAGGTGCGCGATTAAGGATAGCTTTGATTTTAGTGGCTATGGCGGCATTGTGAACGGCAAAGACATTATGATATGCTTTAAGCTTAGGAGTTAAGAGTAATTTAAAGATAATTCCGGATTTTAGCCCGCCGTTAGCATTAGTTATTAAAATGCTGCCTTTAAGGCTGATTATTTACGCGTTATACGTATTAGGATTATAAGAGTTTTTAAAGTGTGTTAGCAGCCGTAAAAGCGAAAGGTGAGGATTATTAGCTTATTTAAGCGAGTCGCAATAAGGCTGGTTTTTGTGATAGCAGGTTATGCAAATAATTAGCAAGGTCATTAAATTTGTGTGTTTCGACGATGTGCCGGCGTAGGAACGTAAACTCCTGCCTATTTAATTGCCGTTTTAAAATAGTTAATTGCGCCATTATGCTGCAAAAGGACTAATAATTAAGAAAGAGGAGCTATATAATGCTAATTAGCTGGCAGCATAATCTAAAGAGACTTTACCTAAGGGCTAAATTACGGTCCCATTATTTTTAAAGGGTTATATTCGATGAATCGTTTATATAATTAATTCTTTTATGTCGGCGTGAGAGTTACGTGCCGCAAAAATGACAACTTTAATAGCGATTTATAAATAAGCTAGCATTAGTGTGTTAGATGTAAATGGGGTGTTAATGAATTAAAAGGTTTACATATAATGCCGTTATAACCGTTTTAATTAAGGAATAAATATTAATAATTAAGCCTTAATATTTTATGCTTACGGCATTAGACCGTATTAATGAAAGTTATTTTAATTATTTCTCTTTTCATCCTTATTTAATAAATAGCTAATTATTTCTGCTTGCTTTTATAAGTAATCGTCGTATTTTTTTTTAATAACGTTAGCTCATCTTTTACGATCCCTCCATCACCCCTAATAAATTGCCACTTGAGTTCTTAAGCGCTAACGACGCTTAGTTTGCTAAACCCGTAATGCTTATCGTTTAGCATTATAATAATGTTTGCGACATTTTCTCCGTTATTAAGTGTGCTATAACTCTCGATATTTCCGGCTATTATCGGAATATTAGTCATTATATTAATTAAGGGAATGATAAATTCGTGGTTTTTAATTTCCCGTACGTATCACCGTTTATTAAAATAGTTATTAGAAAATCGGAAGATTATATATTTATTATTATTAATAATGTGCGTTATAAAGATATTAGGGTTAATATAATAAGTATTATTTTTGCCCGTAGCTACGCTGGTATAATCGATGATATTATTTGCGCCCATAGGCTATAGGCGTTTATATTAATAAATATAATTAAAATAAAATGAATTTTAATATTTTTCGCAGCAGTGGCGTTTAGCTCGGTATTTATTTAAATAAATATAAATTAACTCCATGCTTAAGTATTAGATTTTTAAAAGCGTTACGGATGTAAGTTTAGTACAAAGACGTCTTAGTGCTGTATATGGGCCGGTGGCTTATGATAATGACCCAGGGGGTCTCGGTGCGGTTCACATTAGCGAGGTCCTTGGCGAACCATTAGTACTGCTCGTAATTCTCCTTGGTCTTCCAGCTGCCATTAATGGCGCTAAAGGGTCCGCTGTCGGTGATGTACGTTTCGTTCTTTAACGGGTGAGTCTCGTTGTCGGAGAGGTCGCGCATAAATGGCTATTCGGGATTATACGGGTAGTCGGTTTCGCCGTTAATAGAGATGAAATGGGCTAGTCCGTAATTAAACGAGTATTAAAAGTTGCTAACGCCGCTTATCTTTGCGCCGGGCATGCGGAAGCGGTGTTAATAAGCCGTGTAATTTCTCTAAAAAGGAGGGCAGTTATAATATGTTAAGGTGCTCTCGGAAGCAGTCGAGTTTGCTTTGTCCTCGTCGAGGTAGGCGGATAACTCGTTATTAGGCTTATTAAACTCGGCATAAGCAGCCTCGTGGTTGCCCGGCAGGATTATATAAGGGATTTTAGTGGTTAAGTTATTAGTTTATTACTATTATAAATTTTAATTTAACTCGTATAAAACACTTATGTCATTATTTTGTGGTCCGCCTTAATTAGCAATCTCATTTATTAATAGCGGAATTAAATATTCGGCGGGAATTAAGTCTCCGCCCGGAAGCTTAATTAAGGTGCTATTATAGCAAACCGGCTAATTATCCTCGCACGGTAAAATACCCGAGTATTAATCGTCGGCATAGCTAATATCGCCGCTATGCTAAATAAATGCAATTCCATCGGTGCCGGACGCGGCTTTAAAGAGCTGCTTATAAATTCCACCGGCGTTAATATAGCTTATATTATTTAATACGGCGATTATAAAGGGCTTAGCGTTATTAGCCGCGCGGCCCGTGGTAAAGCTTAGGACATCCGAAGCAGTTATATTATTAGCCGTTATAATTTTATAATAATAGGTTATATTTACCTTTAAGCTTTTAATTTAAATATCGTGGAAAAATTAATTATATTATGTGACCACGACCTTTAAGCATAAGGGCGTACGATTATAGCTAAAATAATATTAAGATACGAGTTTTCCTTTTTTAGCGTGGTTAATTTACGTGCGGGAAGCGCTAATGGCCTTATTAATAAAATTACCCCGCGTAAATCCTTAAAAAACGGACGGTGCTTTATTAAAGCTAAAAGGAGTTTAATAATGAATATTTACTTTATTAGGGATATAAGCCAGCGCCATAATATTAATGTTATTAATAGTGTTAATCAAGGTGGTGCTTTCCTATTAGAGTTTAAACTGGTTTGATATAAGTGTCAATTATGTAATATATTGATTTATATTCTGCGCCTTTTAGTTTTAATAAGGTATACGCTTATTTAGGTGGCCCCGGCTAATCCCCGGAAGGTCTTATATATTTATTTAAATACTATAATATTAATCCGTATACTTAAGCATACCCTAATATATAAGAACCATAACCCACCATCTAACATACCCCTTTAGATCCACGATTTATCGTAAATCTGGCTATATTTAAATTAAAATTGCTAATTAGCAAAATATAGCTTTTTTTAGGGTTATTCGTTTTAATTACGATAGGCAATTTTAAATCCTATTTATTGCAAAAAATTTTGCTATTTGCCTATTAGCAAGCTTTTCGTTAATTTATTTGCTATTATTTTATTTAAAAGTTTATAAATAACTTTAATTTTTTTTTTTAGGCTTTTTGCCGCAGCTAATAATTATAAATATCTATATAACGGAGTTTTATTTTTAATAACGTAATTTCGGCATTAATTAAATTAATAATTTATTTATTATTATATTTAATAATAATAATGCTATTATCTAATTATATCAATAATTCCTTTAATAATCGATTAACGAATAATATTTTTTTAATAGCTTATATTAGCGCAAATAATTTAGCTTTTATAATAAAAATAATAATTATATTTTATTTATTTAATCGCTAATTAATTAATCCTCCGAATAGCTTTATAGCGAATATTTAGGTATTTTTGCGATTAATACTATT